CTCCTTCACCCTGGGGGTCAGACCCCTTATTAGGTCTTTTGACAAGGGGACAATCTTGAATCGTTGGGGGTTTTAAAAAGAGGCCCCCGGGCGAAGTACCGGGCCCCCTGGTTTGGCCGGTTTGTTTTTCGCGGGGGGGGCCGGAACACCGCCGGGGCCGCCCGGCCCGGCGTTGGGGGGCTTTTCTGCCCCCCCCCCCCGCCGCCCTCGGGGGCAAAAAACCTGGCCCGTTACGGGTAAAAAATACAAGGGGCCCCGCTGGGGGGGCCCTGGCCGGGTTCCCGTTGGCGGAAAATTTCCGGCCTTTGCGCCCCGCGCTCGACGTTGGAAGGAAGGATGGGGGATCTCGGGAGCTGCCGGGGGAGCCAAAAAGTTAGCAGTGGCCCGAGTGGATGAAGAAGGGGGGCCTTGCCCGGGCGCGGGGTCCGGCACGGTGCGTTGGGCCGCTGACAGGGACTGGGGCGATGACGGCGCCGCCAAAGATGCCCGCGCGCCCCGGGCGGGTGCCAGGGCTGGCGCGTGTTGGTGAAGATGTCCTGTCTGCTTGTCAGGGGGGGGGGTCCATGCAAAGTTAATGTGGAGAGAGAGAGAGAGAGAGAGGAAAAGCAACAGGAGGAAAAGCTCACCGGCCCCAGAACGCCGAGCTCCGTCACCTCGAGGACATTTTCAATGTGGCTCTTTTCGGGATCGTAGGGCGGCGGCTTGACGAGCGTCGTGCGGCCGCTGCTGCTGCTGGACATGATGGTGACGAGGCCCCCTAGGTGTCGTGATGTATGCTTTGCGTCGTATTGGACCGAACCTTCTTTCGAGGCTCGGAAGATCCACTCAATGAGATTCCTCGCTTGCTATCGCGTTGCCCGTCCAGCCGGGGGGGGTATGTGTCCTGGCCGGGCTTAGTCTGATGGGTATACGATGGCCGATGAGACGAAGAACAGAATCAAAATACTCTGATGGAGATGGGAGATCGGTTGGGTTGATGAGGGGCGGGAGAAAAGGGGGCGGTTGAAGAGATAGATTGGAGACAGACCCATTCATTGGCAAGGCGAGTGAGGTCGGTGGTGGTTTGAGCTGGATGGCGACACAGACGCAGGCACAGGCAGGCACAGGCAGGCTGAGGCTGTTGCCGAGGTTCGGGCCACGGGCGCATGACAGGCCGTGGCAGTGGCACTGGCAGTGGCGAGTGCCGACGTCTCCACCCGTGCCGTGTCTCCCCTCGGTACCACGACCCGAACCCGAACGCCGGGTCGGTCCAGTCCATCAGTACCTACCTACCTTAGGAAGGTAGGTACATACCATGGCCCCGATCCATCTACCCTACCCGCCTTGGTCCCTCTCCACATCTGCCACTGGTGTGAATGTGCCGGGGCTGTGGCTTTCCATGGAAGGACTAGAAGACTTGGCCAAGAAGAAACCCGCCAACAATGTAAAAACAACCCTTTCTATTGACCTTCCTCTGGCTACCTTACCCCAAGTACAACTGCGTGTGCTACTCCAACCCCTCTTCCCCGCTCTCCATCCACCCAAATCAGCTCCTTCTCACTCGCCATGGACATGAACCCCTAGAACCTCTAGAGCCCCTAGAGCCCCTAGACAGGGGCCCTCTAATGCTCCACGTCCTGGTAGATGGGCTCGAGTCCATGCCACGCCGACGCGTCGCCCGTGCCCGCCTTCTCACGCTGCTCCCAGTACTTGCCGTTGAACTTCCAGTACTTCTCCCCCGTCACCTCCGAGACCTCCTGCGTGAACCACGCCGGCGTGAACTCCTTGCCCTGCGTCTCGCGCGCCCGACGACGCGCCCGCTGCGCCTCCTCGAGCCGGTTCTTCTCCGTCGCCGCGAGGTCGTACTCGCCGTCTTCCATCGCCCGCTGGTCCGGCCGCAGACGCGAGTCCGTCGGCGCGATCCACGCCCGCAGGTTGTCGTCGAGATGGTTGAACGTCAACACAAACGGCGTCAGGTTGAACGGGATGCCCTGCGGCCGCTCGTGCGCCTGCCAGATGAGGAACGCCTTGTTCGGGTCGTGCGCCTTGCTGTCGCCCGGGTCCTCCACCGTCGCCTCGTAGCCCGGCGTCAGTCGCGCGTAAAACTTCGAGTTCCACCGCCCGCCCATGCTGTACCGCACCCGCCCGTCCGCGTCCACCACCTTGCCCTTGATCTTGAACGCGCTCGACGCCTTCCACCCGCGCGGCTCAAACTCCACCATGCACTTCTCCCCAGTGCTGTGGTTCGTCACCTCCATCGGTCCGTAGTGGTCCAGCACCGGGTTGCCCGTGATGATGCCAACCACCGACGACGTCACCTTGTTCCACGTGTACAGGTCCTCCTTGCCCCCCGCGTTGGGCCGCAGCTTGAGATACCACGTGCCGAGCTGCGCCACGTCAAACGACTTGCCGTAAAACTTGGACTTGACCGACGCCTCGCCCCAGTACGTCCACTTGGGTGCCTCGGCCCACACGGCACCGATCGGCGGGTGGTGGCTGACCTGCTCGACGAAGAAGCGGTAGTTCTTGTCTGGACGCACATACTCAAACGTCTCGCCCAGCAGCGGGTTGAATGGCTTCGCCACACGACCAATCGTGGAGGCATACTCGCTGGCAGCGAACGCCGCCACGTAGAGCATCCGCTCCAGCGAGTCGCTGCGGTCCGCCGCCTGCTCGAGTAGGTCTGTGTACTCCATGTCCTCTCCAGCTCGGTACAGGAGCGACGTCGGCTCGTTAAAGGAGACGGGCAAGGTCATCTTGGTCATGTCTTTGCCGATCATTGATTTGAGGATGCCCTGCAAGTGAATCCGGTTAGATGACTGAGTAAACTTGTCGTGAGGGGGAAGAACCTCTTACCCATAGCGAAATCTTGGGCCTGTCATCCACATCCATCTTGAGCCTTGTGCGGACACCGTTTTCATAGCCCTTGAACGAGCTGCTGATGTCCAAGGTCCCGGAAACAACAACCTCCCTGGGCTCCGCTGCACCGTCAACTCCTGGGCCCGAGGGCTCAGCCGGGAGCTCGCTGACTTCAACCTCGCCTGCGTCCACGGCATCGAAGAACTCGTCCGAAGCATCCGACTCTGAGTCAGAGAGGTCACTGATCTGGTCGAGCGCAGTCTGCTGCCTGACAATGCCGGCACCAGGCGCGCTCTTCGCCGCGCCCTTCGCCGCGCCATCGGTGCCGATCGCCTCGTCAATGACCTCGGTGCCATCAGCCCTTTTGCTGTCCGTCACAGGTGCTTTGCTGACAGCCTCCCGCAGAGCACGCTTGGCCAGTTTTCTCTTCGTCTCGGCCTGGTCAACACGCTCCTCGAGAACCTCCTGTTCTTTGGCCACCTGCGCCATGCTTTCCTCCCACATGCGCCGCATGTCAGTCTCGCGATCCAGCCGGTACTGCCAGTACGCATCGCGGTCCTTCGAGATGCGCAGCAGGTCGCCCATGAGACCAGTCAAGCTGCGAACTGCAGCATCGTATGTAGCGAGAGCCTGAGACACTTTACCGTCAGACAGCGTGGCGGCCGGATTCTTGGAAGTCTCAGCGATGAGCGCCACATTGACAGCTGCGATCGTGTCGAGCTGCAGCTTGGCAGACTGCGCAGTGATGTTGAACGCGTCCCTCGTCACAGCAGGCCCATCGCGATTGCTCGCCTCCTCAAAGTAGTCATCGTCGTCGTCATTTCCTCCGACGTTGGTGTGGGTGTGGTTGCCACCCATCCGCGACGCGTCGCCTTCAGTCATCGCATCGGCGTAGTCGTCATCGACGCTGCCCACGGTACTGGCAGCCCTGTGCACAGACTGACGAGGCCCAGACTGCGTTCGGTGGATTTGGGTGCTGGTCCCCCGCGTATCGGCCACGCTGGCACTTTCGCTGGCGGGATCGTTCATGGACAGCTCTGGAGACTTGCCAGCCTGGTCGGCCTTGGCTTGACGAAGCATCTCGGCGCCACGGGCCTTCTGCTTCTCCTCCTCCTTAGCTTGGTCCTTGGTCCACTGAATTGAGTTGTTCAGCGCCCAGAACCATCTCTTGGCCTCGACTTCGTGGTTGGCCTTGAGGGTGTATTTGGGAGATGATTTGCCGATAATCTCAAATTTGGTCTTCTCGTCGGCGCTCATGTGAAGCTTGGCAATGCGCATGTTGATGGCGCCGCGGCAGGCCGAGCCAGCATCGTCCTGGTGTTTGTAGTAACTCATGACACCGTCCTCTAGGACGAAGAATCTCAGCTGGTATCCCTTTCGGTAGTTGGTCCACTTCTTCAGGTAGCCAGACATCTCGCGGGCTTCTCTTCCGGCGAGAGGGTCACCCGGAGTGCTCGAGGAAGCTCCCTGGGATGCAGCATGACCAAGAACAGCCTTCTCTTGAATGCCCCTCTGGGCGGCCACGGCAGCAGGCGAGCGCTTGAGCATGGAACGAGTCGTGTCGTCCTTTGTGACGTCTTGGGGGAGCTTGCCCTTACGATCTCGTCGGAACGGGTCAGCACCGTGAAGAAGCAAGACTTGGATGAGCTGCGAGTTCTTCTTGCGAGCTGCCTCGTGTAGGAGGGTTCCTCCGTTCTGAACGGTTACGGTTTCGGTGCAAAATTCGGTACTGTTGATGTCGAGAACCTGCTTGAGGCGCGGCTCTTCTAGAATGACCTCGAGCGCCTTGTAATCGCCCTGGGCAATGAGACCCTGGACCTGACGCACCTTTTCTTCGACAAACAGCGACCGCGACAGCTGGAGCTGCTGGAAGATTTCAGGGTTCCTCGCCGAGTCGATGGGTAGTCGGCCCTGAGCATTGGGAACGGCATCGTTGATGTCCTTTTGTTCGAGAAGCAGCTTGACAACCTGAGTTCGTCCTTGGGCTGCCGCAATGTGAAGCGGCGTGTTGCCCTCCCTGTCGCGTGAGTTGACATCGATGGAGCCGGTGCTGTTGTGAAGAACAAACTCGACGACGGGGTATTCTGCGCACTGGATGGCCAGGTGTAATATGGTCGTGTCGTCCAGACCGGTGCCGCTCAGCGATCCGATGGAGGAAATGCTGGTCCGCGGACCGCCCTCGGCAGTTTCGCGAATGGCTCTGGAGATGGATGCCGTGTCGCCACTGCGTAGAGACTCGACGATGCGGAATTTGCGAACGGACTGCTCGAGAGTTACGCCCTTGTTTTCGAGCGATACGCTGCCAGTCTTGGAAGACAGGCCTGCGGGGCTCTGGTTGGAGGGTGTTCGTGCCAGGGCGGCGGAGGAGGCGGTGAGCTTGGCGCCCTGTGTTCGGGTAGAGGTTTGGTGGGACAGAGAGGCGCTCGACGAGAAGGACGGAGAAAGGCCTGAGAAGCCAGCGTCGTCGGGGCCGGAAGAGTTCGAGGCGTCCTCTTCGTGACGAGAGTGATTGCGGCGGAGAAGGGCGAGGGCAGCGGCCGATTTCGATCGCTTGTGGGCGGTAATGCTGTAGCCGCGGTGGCATTAGGACTGGTATCGTCGTTGCATTGGGGGGGGGGGAGGGGGAGAGGTTCAGATGCGTTGAGGGGAGCGAGGGGCGTACCTTTCGCCTATGTCTGACATGATGACACTGCTGTTCGAATCCTCGTCGGGACAGCCAAGGCAAAGAAGAGCGATAACAGCAACAATAACAACCAGAATTGGGCACCTAGATTATGCCACGCAGGAGATGACGGGCGCGGGCCGAAGGGCTTCGGGCAAATGTGTAGAGAACTGGATGAGGTAAGGTAAGGTCGAGAGGGTCTCAGGAGATGGACTGTGCTTCACAGCATTTACATTCTTGGCAGACGCCCTACTCCACCAGTACTTGCGTAGAAACAGGTGCAGCTGGCCGTGGTTGAGGACCCTGATGCGGATATTGTCCTCGGTGGCTGACACGGTCTGTTGCCAGGCGGGGCCTTGACTCGACACAAGACTGAGGCTATGGCAACGAGGGGCCGCCGTAGTCGGATACCCTAATATAGGTGCGAGCTGTGGAGGAACGGAATTCGGGCACTGGGAACGGCCGATTTGCACGAATGGCCCGTCGTGTAGTAGAAGAGGGTCTGAGCCACGATGATGAAGAGATCGATGGCTGTTAGGGTAGGCGGTAGGTATGTGACAGGCAGCGTCAGGAGCAAGGATGGCGATGGAGTCGTGGATTGAGATACATATGGCCAGGAACAAAGTGGCCAGTTGAGGAAAGCACCAACCAGGCGTCCTGTTTCCCCTCTTCCACCTTGCTTTCGAGTGCAGGAGCCAGGCAATGACGTTCTTGCATGTGGGGTGGGTAGAGCTCACGCCTGGTTGGAGCTCCAGCCAATGACGCCTCGGTGCCCTGAAGCTAGATCATGGGATGACTAACAACCCCTTGTTCACCTGCTCCAACGGGCGGCTCCTCTTTCGTGTGCCATCTGCCACAGGGAAATTCGTGCTTCGAGCTTTGGTTGTCTCATTTCGTACAGTTACGATCGCCTTGCTGCGCCGCCAACGTTGACGCGTCCCGGTCTTGAAGAGCTGTACGGCCCTTGCAATGTACTGTAGCACAGAAAACATCATATGATGAGGCTGGGGGCTGGAAAAGGAGGGTATCCTCTTGGAAAAGGACACCTGTTCTGGGTTCTGACCACGAATGTGGCTACATGGATCCTGAACTCTGATACTACTTACAACCTCCAATAGATCAACCCACCAAATCATTATTATGTAGATGCAGAATCAATACGACATCGAAGAAAACAGGCCGCAAATTATTATCCATCGTCGCCTACAGCAAAAGCCCAGCGACAACGACGGCAAGAGCCGCTGCGCTGACCATCCCGGACTTTCCGGCACCAGCCTCCACGATGTGGCTCGGCTTCGGTAGCGCATGCGAGCCGGTAGCGTTGTGCCCAGGACCTGCAGGCGGAATCACAATCGTCGTGTACGGCTTCTTCACCGGAGGAATTGGCTTGCCGCTTTCCTTCGGGGTTGAGTCCTCCTCATTGCCCTTTTGGGGAACGTGAGGTCCGCCGCTAGGCTTGGGTGGCTGAGGAGCATCCGTCTTCGGTCCCTGAGGAACGTCACCCGTGGCAGGGCAGACGGTGGTGTACCACGTGACTTCGGTCGTGACCTGGCCAGAAGGGCAGTATGCCACATCAGGAGCGCAGGAGGTGACGGTATATGTCTTGGTCGTGTAGGCAGTGCTCGTCGTCCAGACGGGTGCTGACGTGACAGGAGCTGACGTGATGGCGGGGGGTGTTGGGGTCACATCGCCAGTCTCCGTGACAGGGCATACGGTCGTGTACAAGGGAATAGTCTCCGTAACGACGTCTCCTTTGGTGCAGGGCACATCAGGTTTGCAGGACGTGATGGTGCGGGTGCTCGTGGCGTATACGGTGCTTGTGGTAAGCTCGACAGAGCTGGAAGAGGTAATGCTGGTGGGTCCAACGGACGAGGGGGATACGGTGATTGACGCCGTAGTCGTTGAGTTGGATAGCAAACGACTGCTGGTAGTGGTAGGTCCGGTGGGAGGCGCAGAGTCGCATCCAAACTCGAGCGCGTCGGCAGCGTGTTCATTAAAGTTCTTGCCATCAATGACGTTCTGAGCGCCCCTCGTCGCGTCCCAAAAAGACAGGCCTCCAAACTGGCTCTTGTCCTTGAGCGCGCAAACAATTTCCTTCACCTGCTCGTTGTCGACATAGCCACTGCCACCTGCGGCAGGGCTCGCCAGCAGGCCGATAAAGATATCTGCGTCCTTGCTCTGGTCGGTCTCTGACAGGACCCTCAGCCAGTCATCATAGTTGATATCGTCAGAAGCCTGACAGCCAGGATTGTTGTAGAACTGGATGAACAAGGCATCGAACTGGGCAGCGTAGACAAGCTCCTTCAGTTGGAAGTACTCATCGGAAGTAGGGCACTGGGGGGCAGCTGTGATGTAGTACGCAGGGTTGAGGCCGCGAAGGACCTCAACCATCCTGATGTAGGGCGCTTGGTTGGCTGGTACATGTCGTGGTCAGCCTGTGAAGCGGGAAGCGTACATGTATGCGAACTTACGGTACTTGAACTCAATGTCGAAATCGAAGCCATCGACGGCGACATGCTCCGTCTCGCTGATATCAAAGGGACGAGGGCCAGGGTAGGTAGGATCGTAGGGGCCGAAGATGGAGTGGAGCTGTTCAGCGAAGGCTTCACCCTCTTCCTCGTCCAGGACATCATAACTGCAAGGCTCACCATCGGCGCAACGTCCGCCAATGGATAGAAGAACCTTCTTGCCAATGCTCTGGCAGTACCTGATGTCTGTCTTGATAGCATCACAGTTCATGATGAGAGAGGTCTCTTCGCCGTTGACCGGGTTCACATAGAACTGCTCGCCGCCACAGTGGCCGGCAAAGTTGGTTCCAGGATAGTCGTTGCCGTACCTCGGGGACTTGTTCACAAAGGACAGAGTGACGGAGGTGACGCCGGGCGAGTCACAGTAGCTGGCCAGGCGATCCGTGGGCAAGCCCAGCTGACCCCAGTAGAGGTTGAGCGCGCCATAGGTATTAGCAAAGGCAAAGCCAGCACCGAGAGCTACGGCCAGGAGGGACTTGGACATCATGTTGGTGAGATACCTGATGTGAATGTGAAAATGTAGGAGGACTGTAAGGTGGCCGAAGCCTGTAGGTAAAGAGCGTGGGAGAGGTGGTTGTGGGTTCAACGAAAGGACGCAAACAAAGTGTCTGCAAAGCCGAAAGGGGCGGGATATCGTCTCTGGCTTGACGATGACGAGATGGGGAGACACGAGCAGCAGAGTAGGTATGGTCCGAAGGAAGTCGGACGGGGAGAGGGCCTTTCATAGCCGTTCAGTTGGCCGACATCGTAGTGCGGCAGCCATGCCCACGGGCGTGACGGCACATGGAGACAGCACTTAACTTGTTGCTGTGTTTGCCTTGGACCACCCAACTCATCTGGACGGCGCCGGAACCCATGCCGGGCTAAGGCGACGAGAGATTAGCAGACAATGTCAAGGCTGGTGCCGAGCGAGATATGTTGCGAGCTGGTCATGGAGAACGGTGAGAATTGGCTGGGCAATGCGGGCGTGCGTCAAGTCCAGCAGCGCTATAATCATCCAGTGTGCTTGACCGAAGGACCAAAATGGCAGACGAGAGGATCGTGGATGAAGATGGTGGCGGCAAGGGACTTGTAGTTGGTGGAGAGGCTGGTGTGCAGTGGATCTACGCTTGCTGTGCCTGGTACCTGCAGTGGTAGCGCCTGCCATGTGAGGTGAGATGAAATGAGACAACCAGAAGGTGGGGTGCTTCCTTCCGGGGGAGATCCGGCCAGCCCTGCCGGGCTCAGGAACGACTGGCGATGATCGTCAACCTGCCTAACTGTAGGGCGCCTTCCGAGGTACCACGGTGAGGTGCCAAGGGTGCTCAGGGTACCTATCTAGGTAGGTACGTTGCCAAGGTAGGGTACATGTACCTACCTTGCCTACCTACCTAGGTACCTTAGGTAGGTAAGGTACCTTAAGGTAGGCAAGGTACCTTAAGGTAGGCAAGGTAAGGTACGCAGCAACCTTCAGGGCCTGCCAAGCATCGGTGGAAAACCTCTGCTGCTTCTATTGAACCACCATCGACAGTTACTGGCTGGACGAGAGACGCCAGTGCGACGCCTCATCGATGGAAATGGTCCGCCCAGAGGATCAAAGTCGATATTTCCCCTGATCCGTGCGTCTGACACCTCGGCCGGTTTAGCCTGAACGATTTGGCCACGGCCGTTTCCTTTTCGCTTACCCTTGCGTCTCCAGGCCTCCTGAGAGCAGAACTCGCTATACAGCCAAGCTTTCCCAGTTGGAACACCAAGCCGAGCAGACGCTGCTCTGTCCCTGTGCGCTCACCTGTCTGGGGTCAAGACTGCCAGACGTACGTCGTGGCTCTTCGCCCCCACTCCTGTGACGCGTACAGGCACGTTGGTTCTCAAAGCAGGAATCGTTCAGGCGCGATTCTCACGTTCCTCACCAAGGACTTGAAGGGTCTGGACACTTCTCATGGATGGACACTATCTGGCATACAGGGGAAGTTTCTTCAGGGTGTCGGATGAGAGTAGGAAGAAAGGCGCTCAGTGCGTCACTGTAAGATTGTTCCTCCAAATATTCCGATGCTGTCGGTAGGCTGAGCACACTGCTACTGTAGCCTTGACCAGGTGGATGTCTGTGGTTAGTCTTCATCACATAGATGCCATTCATGTGAATATGTAGACTGCGCAGTCATCCTCCAGCCGAAGAACACACGCTCGCCCTACCAATTGTCCTGCGCCCCTGAATCTCCGGGCTCAACAACAACGACAGGCTAAAGTGATAGTGGTGCAAGGTGACTACCACCGTAGCCGTTTTACGAGCATGAGGCGAGCATAGGCAAACGTTCGCGACATGACAAGCAAAAGACAGCGAAATCAGTCAAAAGAGCACACAAGTGAAAGTATGTGTTTCATTCATTCTATGATCCCGCCAAACGAAAGGCAGTGGTATCAGTCTATCTCAGCTGCCCCTCCCCTCTACACAGTATCCAGCACCCCCTCACGCAGTATCCAGCACCCCCTCACGCAGTATCCAGCACAATGACCTCGGCCTCGGCCTCGCCGACGCTCTCGACACCAAGCTTGTCCCCAGCATGGACGGCATCGACAAAGGCGCCGTCGCCCTCGGACAAGACGGCGTCGTCGCGGCCGTCTATCCTAATCTTGGCCTTGCCGCTCTTGGTCATGGGCAGGTGGACAAAGACCTTCCGGTTAGTCTGCGTGGTGCCGCGGCCGCCAATGGTCCACTCAAAGACGCGGCCGGGGGCGATGATGCCGGCGCCCATGACGAGGTCGGCGTGTATGGGAATGGTGCCCTCGACAGCGGGCTCGGCGGCCTTCTCGTCGGCGGCCGAGGCGTCGGGCCCGGCCCTGAGCGGCGACAGCACGGGCACAAAGGGCGGCGCGCTTGGCGTC